AGCAAAATAATCATGTAAAGGTTGAATCTTTTGATGCGATTTAAAATACTTATGAAATATACTAATTATATAGGAATGTATTTGTTTCCCTGAACAATAAAGTGACTAAAATTAATCTTGCAAAAACATTTTAATCATAAAACTAATTTATTCCCAATCATTTAAAAAATAAAGAGGCGCGAAGGTTAATTTATATCGGGGAGGGTCAAAATTAGACGTCAACAATAGTATCTTAGGGATGTTACAACTCTCTCCCCCTTAAAGAAATTTTGTCTCAAAATTTACCTTAGGATAGTCCCAAAACAAGTGTGGATATTATCTCCTCATGTCTTCTTCTCTCTCCCAGGTAGCTTCTTTTCCAGAATGGTTCATCCAAAATGTGTTTACTAAGGGGATTATCTTTTTACTAAGCTTCTTTATATCCATAGAATGATTTAGGGTAGGTTTTTCATTGTACGTCATGTCAGGATTAACCTCAATAGATTCAACTAGAAGAATATGAGAGGGCTCAAAACGGTATTTTTGGAGCATACAAACATGGAAGACATGTGCATCTTGTCTAACTCTGGTGATAAATCAAATTTATATGCAACTGGACTAACCCTTTCAAGTATCCAATAAGGTCCAATAAATCGGGGACTACCTTTTACTTTTTGCCCAAATCTCTTAATTTTTTCCATGTTGACACCTTTAAGTATAATTTATATTTAACATGATATTTTGTAACACCCTAAAATGAACTAAGATGAACTAGAACCTCGTGGTTGTTTTTTGAGTTAATTTGAAGTTAAAACGATTTGCAGTAATTTTCTTAGGCAGTGTGTGAAGTTCGGTTAAGTTTGGATGTCAAACGTCCAAGAACGTCCATGACTTTCGTAAGGTGTGCCTTAGAAAGTACTTGTGTGTCATGATGTGTTTTAGTGAGTTTTACGTGTTCATTTTACTCGAAATTGATGTGGGATGTTCCTAAGACCTATAAGTCTATGTTTAGGTGTTTAATGTTCTGACACGACCCCACCTAGGACCCACAAGGGGCCCTAGAGGAGGGCCCAAGACTTTGGTCAAAAACTTTTTGGCAGTGTTCATCAACGGGACCAGTCGACGGACAATGACCAATCGACGGCTCGTCTATTTGGTCCGTCGATTTGACATGCAGGTCTTCAGGGTGAGAGTTGCAGATCCTACCAATGAAACCCCATCGACGGGTCGTTGGTTAACAAACGACCCATTGTTTGTGAGTTGTGGATGCTGCCTGCAAAAGTTGTCTCTCCTGCTGCCAGATGGGGGTGTTTTTTGTAAATTTACCCCATGTATTTTCAGAACCTAGGATGATATTTTTTGGGTTTTTAAGTTGTATTAGATTAGTTTTAAGTCATAGCTAGACAAGACCCCTCACTTCAAATATTCAAACTCTCTCTCTAAAGAAAACTCTCTCAAAGGCACCATTGGAGCTAAGAGTCAAGGAGGGAAACAAGGGACGGGTTGGACGTATTTATCAACAAAAATAGTGGATTTCCTTCTCATTGAGGTATGGTATCAATCCCTGAATCCCCTTCCATTCAAGGAGTCATTTCCAAAAGATTTCTAAAAGGGTTTTCAAATTCTAGTTTCTTCTATCTTTGATTTTAAGCATCGTTCTTCTTGTAAAAGTGTTTTAATGATTAAAATGTGTTTCTTCTAGTATGATGTGATAATTTTCATGTCACAACCCCAATACTCATGTTTATGCATATTTTAAACTTTTAGCTGAAGAAATAAGTTAAATAGATATGTTTGTGTAGAGTATGAACTTTGGTTATCTTGTGTTATTATTATGAGTTAGATACTTCCCTAAGAGCCTTATTATTATGAAATATTGAGAAAATTATTTAAAGGTAGTGATGGTTTTGATAAATCGGGAGTTGCTTGTATTGCATAATTTTTTATTATATATTGCTCTTGAGTGGTATAGTGCACCTTATAGTTGGCGGTGCTAATTTGATGAAATTGATATCATATAATATGTATTGTGAGCGTTGATTTAAAGGCCTAATATTTGAAATGAATTTATATTAAAGATAGAGTCTTGTATTGCGGTTTGTGAAGCATTGAATTGCATGTTTGGCTTAAGTTATGCCTAAATGAAGGATATGATTATGTGAAGCTTAAAAAGTGTGTGAAATGATGAATGTAGGTTTAAAGCATGCATAGAAGTAGTTGCAAATGAAATTATTATTATATGCTCGATGTTCTCACAAGTATACACACACACAAAAATAAATGAATTTATGGAGCTAAGTTGAGTGACTCGAGCAATTTTGAGATGGATACTCTTTGCGGGTAAAGATGAAGTGTTTACTAGAAACCTCACTACGTCCTGTGTGATTTTTAAGATAGTTCAAAAGGATGAATACCCTTCGTGAGGTTAAATGTGGTGTTCACTAGTTATCCTTAACATTTAGTATATAATTTTTAGAATCCGTGGGGGTTATGTCTAGCGCCGAGAGGATATGAAAAAGAGGTGGTTTTACACATCAGAGTTGAGTCGTTCTATTCCAATGTACCTCTTGAGATGAGTACTCCTCATTAGTAGAGAATGAGTTACTTAGTAGCAATCTCCTTATCCCTTAGCTATGAACCCTCATAGTTGTAGCTATTAGGCAAGCCATGTAAAAGCTAAGAGAACGACCTTACCTTAGGCATGTGATGATCCCTCATCCGATAAGGGTTAACATCGAGATTCTATGTCTAGTTATCATTGTCTATGTTTGTTAATATAGCCGCCCGAAATAATTGAATGAACTAAGTCTTCTAAAAGAACGTGTTACTTGGGGTAGGTAGTGGTATGGGATTCTATCTATCCATTGCACTAAGTAGGACCTTCCGAAAGGGAAGACTTGGTGAGAAACCTTCTAAAAGAGTGTACTACTTAGGGTAGGTGGTGCTATGGAAGGCTATCTATCCATTTCACTAAGTAGGCATTCCAAAAGGAAAGTCTTTGGTGGTTTATTTAGTGTTCTTCTAATGTCTTATGTTTTGAGTGGTGACTTGTTCTCTCGAGTGGAGTAAGCTGTTGATGGAAATTCTTAAGGATATCATTGGTGTGAATTAAAGGAGATGTTTTGACGTTTCCTTCATGTCATACTTTGGAGAGTCTGAGGATAACCTCAGTTAGGAAACTTCTACATAAATGAGGTCACTTTCTCATTGGAAATACCTTGGAAGTTCACTATCTTTGGAGTCTCTTTAATTCACTGTAATTTTTTTAAGTTCTTGAAAAGAGATCCATCCAAGGGAATCCATTAGGAGTACTAAGTTGCAATAGTAGTATGGAATGCTACTGTCACATTGCACATAGTGTGACCTATAAGTACTATTGGAAAAGGGTAACTACATGCAGTCCTTATGAATAAATGTTTGGCACATGTTTAACCAATAACGTGGACTTGATTTCCATACGATGTAAGCCTATGGTTGGAAATCTTAATGATTACTTTAGTGTGCCATGAAGCGGGTGTATGGGCAGTATCTTATTGTCTTACTTTAGGGGGTTTTAGGATGACTTGGTTAGGAAACTTCAAAGGAAAAAGGGTTCATATGACTTGGACTATGCACTTCACTGTAATGTATTCACTGTAATAGTCCTACTGTTACTGTAATATGTGCTTTTCTTCTAAAATTGTGAAAGTTCTACTTTATGTAGTAAAAGATGATACTTTTACTATTTCAACTCTTAAATCATGAATATTTTGCATTATTGGCATCTAAATGTGTTTGATACTAAAATGTCCCCTTTTATATGATTTTTCATATGCCATACTCAGTAAATTATTTTGTTCTAACCCCATACAGTTCTATACTATAAGTATAGGTTTGAAGCAAGGATTAAGGCTCGAAGGAAAAGTTGGGAAAGTTTCTCTCAAGACAAGTATGTCCTCATATATTCGAGGGCATAGTCATTTTCTTAGTTTCTTATAAAAAAAAGTTATTATTGTTGGCTGAATAACAGCCATATGTATAATGTATTATATGTATTGTTGTGTCGGCTGAATATCAGCCATATGTATAAAGTAAAGAGTCTTTTTATTTTTGTCGTCTTGCGTCGGCTAAAAAAAGTCAAATGTACAAAAGTCGTAAAGTAAATAGTTTGTCGGCCAATCATGTAAAAAGTTTGTCGGCCAATTATGTAAAGTAAATAGTATGACGGTGTAATTTATGTGTATAAATAGAGGAGCTTTCCTCATAAATAAAACACAACTTCATCCATACATCCCTCATCTTTCTGAATACTCTCTCTTTACGCTTCCACCTAACGCGTACAATATACAAACTGAACAAACAACCGATTCTTTGAACTTTAGCTTTTCCTATACTGAGTTGATTTTGCAATATGAATTCTGTCGCAATAACTTATTTGTTAGTTTTATCTATTTATTCTGTTCTTTGTATTCGGATGGAGAAGCGAGATGCATTGCTAAAATATATCCGAAATGTGAGGTGAACTTCATGTGCTTTATATGCAGTTTGAAGGGCTACTAATATTAGTGAAGAATCATATAATTTCTGACAATGTGTACCTGCATACAGTTGTTATGTCTTTCCAAATAGTACATTTGTGTTGTTTCTTGACATTATGACCTCCTTTTCCTTCTCTTTTTTAGTGCAGTTACTTATGGAGAAGGGAATTGTTATTATCAGAGTGGTCCTTCTCCAGTGATACTTACTCCCACATATGTTGCTCCCCTACCTCGCAAAAACAGAGGTTTTCTTAAGGGATTGCACATAATCATTCATTCGTTCATATCTCTTGCTCTAATTTTCATTTATTTGATAATTCTCCCTAATACACACCTATAATTATCGAGAAAAGTTCAAAAATACTTTCAATCTATAAAAAATAGATCATATCCCTTACGGACATCAACATTCACATTGACGGAGTTATTCATGTGATAAGGTTACGGCATTCGGGTGTCTTGATTTTCGGCTTTTATTTGTAGTATTCCTGGGTGATGCAGTGCTGAAGTTGGATGATTAGTTGTATCAATCAAGAAGGGTCAGTGCATCCCAAGCCTCTCGATGATATGACCTGTAAGCATATTGTTGTTATATTTCTTCCATACTTGTAAACATTACTTCAATTTGTCCATATTTGAACAATTGTATTGATCACTTGCTGGAAATGATATTATAATCATGATTTTCTTCTTGAGTCCAGAATTTTGTTTAGCTTTGATGACTTCTACACTACTACGATGTTGTCTTTTGGACTATGCTCTTATAGGTTCATCTTGAATTAGTGGGACATGACTATTTGTATCACTGATTGATGTATGAACATGTTGATTCCTTGGAATGTTTGTTGTTATTTTTTACTTATTTTATTTTCTCAATTATGACGACTACTGCAGTGGTGCTTATTTAGTTATTTTGGGTAAAACTACTAATTAGTTCTGTTGAGATAATTTTCTCAATCATGAAATGCGCAAACTGGATATATATCATGAAAGCTCTTCTTGTAAACTAGGAGTTGAAACCTTCATTTGTTGCACTGTCTTGATAGAAGCGGCTAATATGTTGTTACGAGCAACAAGGAGCATCTGATATATCCGTTCGTTTTAGTGCAGTAGATTTATGCGATCTTTGTTGTTTGTTCCTCATTTTCCAAAGCTCTCATAGGATAATTAACCATGACTAGTGTTGAGTGTTAATTTTTTTTCTAACATTTAATTTTCTTTTGATTGTGCAGGAATATGCAGGTGATGAAATTTGAATAATGTTCCTAGGTCAACTCAATATATTCAGGCGAACAATATTAGTGTATTAGAATTATTATTATATATGTTTGGATACATTGTGAAATTTAGCACAATTGCCAGTACACCACTTTAAGATACTCCTTTCAATATATGTAGTACAACACATCATTTTTTAAGTTTTTTGTAAATCTATATATTGAAATATAAATTAGTTAATTTGATGTTTGAGATTATTTATATTATACAATTATGTGATTAGTGAATCTATCCAAACCAAAACTTTTATTTATCAATTAGAAATTGGATATCAAAATTTTAGACAACGTTGCCACACCTTAAAAGTGTTGCTACAGGGATGCCAATTGTGTGGCTTATTGATTATAAAATGTAGTATGTACATAGAGAAGGCTACACTTTATAAGTGTTGCTATTGAAGAGTTGTAAAAAGCTACACTTTTAAAGTGTGGTCAATGATAAAGGAAATGCCACGTTCAAAAGTGTAGTATTATTAAATAAAATTGTTGCCAATGAGATGTTACAAAGCATGGTCTTTTTACCTCATTGGGCACCCTTTTTAAGTGTAGCTGCTATAACAACACTTTAAAAGTGTAGACAAAGGTCAAAGGTTACGCTTTTTTAGGTCACCCCTTAAAAAGTGTTGCCTAAATTCAAAGTGTGTTGACTTTTATCAAAGGCCACAATTTTTTCTAGTTTAAGCCACACATTACAAGGGTGGTTGAAAGCCTAAAAAGGTGTAGTGGTAGCTTAAGATAAGATACTTGGGTCAAATTCATAACATACTTCATAACCTAGATCAACTTCTCAAGAACTAGCATTATAGGACTATAATTTATCCTAATCTATTCAAGATTGATACAACACATAATAGGATAGTACTTCAACCAAAAACCAATTCAATTGAATCGACATTATACAATTCATATTAAGATCACAACCTAGGGTCAAGGGGTTAAGGTCATCTTCTACAAACTAGACCAATCCATCAATATACATCATAATTAAGATACAACACATGTAAATCTATTCATAATATAAAAAATAAATCATAAACAAAGTAATTCACAAGATCAATTTCTAGATTGGAAAAGACCCACATGAAAACTCAACTTTTTAAATTCAATTTGGTGGAACTCTTTGAGGAAAGAGGTCTCAAAAGTGAATGGAATCCTATAAATTACTAATTGATGAAGATTGATAAAGGAATTTGACCCTTTGCAGCCCTTGAACACACCCCTAGCTTGGTCTTCGCTGGAGTTCTTCACTAGAGAGAGAAAGAAGAGAGAAGGAAGAGAGTTTTGGGTTTGGGAATTATGGAGCTTAGGCTAGTCTAATTTTCTTAGGGGCTTTATATAGGTGGTTAACTAACTTAATTAGACCTTCCTTAAGCCCTAATTAACCTCCTAAATAGGCCAACTAATTAAATGACTTAATGAAAACGTGCAGCAAAATAAACCCGTCACAGATGACACCATGATTGACGGATCGTGTGTCCATGAAGGGTCACTCTGCACCTCCGTGCTGCAAATATGTTGATGAGTTCAAAGACTATGTGAGATGACCTTTTGGCAGAGTTGACTAAGTGTCCATCGATGTTGGTCATAGACGCTCCGTCAATTGGACCACGCCTCGTCAGTGGCCTCCGTCTGTGGACACTGTCTCTTGACAGTATTTTTCCACCTTTTGCAAGGTGTCACATCCGAGTTTACCCCGTAGACATAACCGGCGTCGTCGTTCTTTTCAAGGACTAAAACTAGCCTCTTAGTCTCATGTCATTACATTCATAGGTTGAAAAAAATGCAGAAAAATTTAAAACTTTCATTATCACTACTTGGAGGTTTACATGGACCTCTACATACACATAATATATATTCATATCGAGTATACATAGACCCTTCGTATAGGAAGGTTACATAGCCTTCTACTTTTATTGCACATACAAATGCGTAAAATACAGAAATAGTCTCAACGATTGCCTCATATCAAACCATCTAAACGATTATCATAATATGGGTATAGTCCTTACATCAATTCAACAAGACCATGTATAGGTCATACAAAAGTAAAATACTCCATTAAAAAGGAAAGGAATGAAAGAGTCAATAAACTCATAGCAAAATCCATAAGCTAGATGATGGCATTGTCCTCGAAAGTTGAGGACCCACCCCACTTGGATGAAAGAAAGAATCCAAGCCTTCAATAATGTCGCCTTCCAAACTCTTCAACGATCGGAACCTAAAATGTTTGGGAAAAAGGGAAGAAAATGGGGTTAGTACTCCACGTGTACTATATATGAGACCTTATGCACACATACACAAGAAAAAAATGCTAAAAAGGACTTGTTAGTCTAAACATGTCATTTTACCCTTTTAAGGACTTAATACAAAGTTAAGTAAGTCATATTAATCAATCAAACATGCTTACTATCTCAACAAGTAATACTTATCCAAACATACTTGAAACTATGTTTTACTACAACCCTAAAATCGGGGAATAATATGACAAAAATGAATAAGAGTCAAACATATCATAATAAGCAAAACAATTACTCACATTTCCTTATCAAGTAAACGAGTGCAATGACAAAGCAAAGCCCCATAACCTTACTCAATCAAGTATCCCCAACAAGAAATCATGACCAATGACCAACTTTACATATCGTGGCATTTCGGTCTACATTTCATCAAATATTAACATTACAACCCAAAGCATATTCATAAATGAACTAATCAACATATATTATCAACAATGTGCAATGGTCATCATATATATATCATATATTATCGTAATATAAACATATATAAGAACCTCCTTCTAAGACTCACATCAAGGCTAACTAGTGCAATGTTTAGGTCGAGTCCCATACCCCTACCTAGACTAAGCTAGACACCTTAGGTTATCTAAGTTAGAGTTCAAGTCCTTTAATTTGTTTTAACTTTTGGGGACATCTTGCCCTAACCAACACATACCACATGAGATAGTGTTAAATCCGGTGTCATAAAACCCCACACCTAAAGAAGGAGGACTACTTGCCAAGGTAGTACCAAAACATGAACATAGGAACTACGTGGATCCACTAGCTAGTATTCCTAGAGGGAAACATAGTTCAAGAACTAGGAGATATAGTTGGTACCATCCATATGGTACATGCATTGGAGTCTCCAATATCAAGAGTATATTAGTGATCCTACCTTCCCTATGTGGGAAGGTACACTCCTCAATATAGTTAACTCGATGTTAAGCTAGAGTCCCTTTTTGAAATGTCTTTAAGCCTTTAAATATCAATCATATCTTAATTTAGGCCATAGGGTCTACCCCTTGTATAATCATCATCATCATCAATAGCTCAATAAGAATTGTATGAGTATGAGTCCTTCCATAAAATTCATATAGGTGAGGTTAACACATTAGCATTTCATAGAATATTAAACCACATTAATAGTTTTCACCATCCTTATATCACATAAACCTTAATCAACCTCACAAAATAGTCAAGTCATTTCAATTTCAACGTCATACATCCCTATAATCCTAGTATAAGTTATACTCCAATGGATGTCATGACTTAACAACAATTAATCACAATTGGAAGTAAAGATAGAGATTCTAAGACTTACAAGTCTTCCTCATAATCTATCATCAAGGTCTTATCATCAAACCATAACTCAAACCAACTTGGGTAGTAACATCATAACACATATTTAATCAATCGAATTACAAGGCCAATCTCATCTCCATAACACATTTCATCTTTAGATCACAACTTGAGACAAGAAACATAGGCTAATTTCACATTATAATTCATAACCTAAATAACATCTTAAGAACTATTATGATAGTCGTATAATTCATATTAATTTAATCATAATAACACCATAGGGTAGTAATCTAATAAACATTCAATTAAATTGAATGATCACAATATAATATAGGTCAAAATCACTATCTAGGGTTAGGGATGAAGGATCATATTCTTCAATGTACACCAAACCATCAACAATTACCATAAACAAGTTGAATTACATGTTAATCTACTCAATATAACCTAGATAAATCATCAACAACTCAATTCATAACTTTAATTTCGTAATTGAATGAAACCCATAAGAAAACTCAACTTTATGAAATCTATTTTCAAGAAACCCTTTGAGGAAAGAGTCGTAAAGGTGAATTGAAGCCATACCTTAATGTTGGTCAACAATTTGATGGTGAATTCGTCCCTTTCCAGTCCCCAAACCCTAGTCCTTGCTAGTCCTCAATGGTGAGTTCATTTAGAGAGAAAAATAAGAGAGAATGAAGAGAGTTTATTTGAGAGTTGTCTTTAGGTTAATGAAGGTTGATGGTATTTATAGTGGGACTTAATCAACTTAATTAGTCTCCCTTTAATACCCAACTAAACCTACACTAATTAATTAATTAAAAAAGACCAACTTAATTTAGGAAGAAAACTCGACCTTCACAAATGAAACCCTGATTGACGGGACGTCTGTGAGTTGACAGACATCCCCCTCCGTCCTGCACTCTGTCGTCTTGGTTAGAGATTGTGCTGGCGAGGTATTCCTCCATATTTTCTATGTGTGGGATGACCGTGGCATCGACGCCCCGTCGATCCACACACGAACCGTAGTTTGCACCTCTGCACTGCGTCGATGAGTTCAGAGGTTGTGCATGTGAAGGGGACTTCTCCACCAGTCTAAGTGTGGTACGATGGGAGAATCGATGCCCCGTTAATCCACACATGGGCCGTCTTCTATTCGGTCGATGCACACTGCCAGGTAGTGTTGCATCAAACTACAAGGGTCCTCCTCAAAGGCCTTTGGTTGGTCCTTGGGTTGTCGTACCCTGGAAATTTCAACCATGAAACAACTCAAACACCTATTAGCTACGTTTCCACAATATTTCGTACATTTTTGACTCCTAAAAGTTAGTCAAATTGGCTAAGGTACACTAACATCCATTTGAACCAACTTCCCGGCCATCATGGACGTTTTGGTTCTTAAACCTCCTAAACGTCCTATATTCATTTGAAATGGATATAGAAATAATAATCATACCTTATGACACCTATGTTAGGCTTTACAATATATCTTGGATTTTCAAGGTGTTACATTATCCCCCCCTTACGAACATTCGTCCCCGAATGACACTAAAATTCTTTAAAGGAAGGAATAGACTCAAGACTAGCAGCCCAACCAATCAACATAAATTATGTCATTTCA